TTCTGTGGCTGCTTGAAGTTGACGTCAGGCAGGTACGGCGTGCGCATGCGTACCAGAGAATTCAAGAAGCTGTGAAGCAAGCAAAGCGGGAAGAAGTTACAGAGTAGCAGGATAACTTTTTTTCGGGAGAAGCGAAGTTCGCGTACGCAACAGGCTATTACAGAGCGCTGAGCTGAAAAGGATGGGGAAGGCATAACGAGAGCGGCGGGAGGCTGTAATTGGATTTCCAGAAGGTAGGGTTTTGAAATTTTGAGATTGGGGCGGTTTGGGTTAGTCTAGATCTGAGAAACGTTCCAGGAGGGTGAACGTAGAGGGGGAAAGACTCGATGGGAGAAAACGAGTGATGCGGGGACGTTCTGTTGGGCGGTCTGTTGAGGAAATGTGTGGGTTCTTTGCGAGAAGTAGGGGAGGCGGGAGAGGGAAAGTGCTAGAAGTGGGAGCGAGTGATGAAAGAGCATTATGCGTTTGTTGGGACCAAGACCGGCTAGTGGCTCGGGCTGATGACATGTGTATAAACCATGTGTACCCGAAGGGTATACGCAGGGAGGGATAGTATCGATTAAACGATCGATACTGTGTATAAACGATGTGTATAGTATACACTGTATACGCCCGCAGAGAGGATTAGTATCAATTAAACATACTGTAATTGTTGAGCTGAAGCGATGTGCAGTGCAGCCAATCACAACGGCCGAGACACGCCAACCACGAAATGCCATTCAATTCAAGAACACGTAGCACACGCGGCCACGCGTGACATCGTCACGCCGCACACACACACACACGGCGCGTCGATGGAACAATTCCATCGATATGACCCACTTCCACGAACCTCACCAGTAGTCGCCACTCTGTTCCTCTGACGAAGCCTCATGTTCCTCTTGGGCACCCTTCCCCCAATGCTCTTCCTTACTGGAGACCGGTTGCAGTGCCCTTGCTTCTCTTTCCCCCGACTTGTCACTCCATCGACCCGACACGCGCAACCCGCGCTCCCCTCTTCTCACACGAACGAACGAACTTGTCGCCTCAACCAAAACAAAAATCGAAATAACCTGTCCGTAGTTCGCTATGTGGCTTGCTCCCCTCGTCACTTTTTTAACTTTTTCGAGTGGAAAAACACAGCTACCAACCCTACAAATACCCCTTTCAGCCCTGCGACTTCCGGCAACGAGTTGCCATCTTCCCATTCACCAAATCAAAATCCTTCTCCCTTCTCTGCTTTATCATGATATAGGATACAGTATATAGTGCTGCAGTATACCGTATCCCAAGACCCTTTTCTTCCTCACTCTCCTTTTCCTATCAGTTGCAGGAGATGCTGGCACACCCCCACCCGCAGCTTCTTCATGTCCTGTCCCTCGAAACTGCTTTCTCCTCCTTTGGCTTTTGTCCATCGCCTGCAGTCTATGTCACTGTTTCCATGCCATCCACTCATAACAGTTTCCATCTTCATCCAAAGGCTTTCCGCCGCCCTACACCGCAGCATGCTTTAGTGAACGCTGTCCGTAACTTGCTTTCCTCTTTCACCAAGTGCAGATATCAGCCAAATCTATGCATCGATTCAAGATGCCTTCAATCGACTGCTCTCTAACGCTATATACTTCTCTGAGAAGATAAGTATATAGCGTTTGAGAGCATATGCGGCCTTTTAATCTGTAAACGGCATATCCCTCTTGTTATCTTCTGCATAAGTGAATCCAAGATGATGGAACATGAATCCTTCAAACCCCAATCACCAATTTTTCTATGGTGCTAAACCCTTTCACACCCCTAAACCTCTGTTACCAATAAGGCTACAACAACTATTTCTGTCAGGACACGCAAAACTGATTTTCACACGGTCAGCACGGACTCTTCACCCCCGCTCTCCTTCACCCCGCCTCCGTAGTCTCACTTCGTGTCACTTGTGTCATTCCCTTTTTTCTTTGTTTTGGCTTTGAAAGCCCGCACTCTCTCTTTTTCATATAGCAGTTGGCTTTGGCGTGACGCAGGCAAAAAACCCCGGCTTCTCTTGCGAGAAGGTTGTTTACTGGCCATAAACAAAGGTGCAACTTTCGGGTTAATGAGCGTCATGCAATTCCAATCAAAGAGTCCTTTGTACAGTGTACTGCTGCGCCACACCCTCTCCTGCTCAAGTAGACGTTCAAACACACACACAATCGTATTACGC